ATTTATATAAATATATTTATAATTATTAATTTATTTTTTGTATTAATTTTAACTTATATATAAAATAAATATCCATTATAGATTTATTAAAACAAAATAAATGATAAAAGAAATTTAGACAAGAACCCATGTTCTTATTAAACCTTTGAATCATTGCTGATATTGACCCCAAAAAAGAAACGACGAGTACAACTAGACCATGAACAACCAACCATCACATTGTAAAATTTGTGAAATTTCTTATAAAAATTACTTCAACAATAACCTTTTCATCATTGTGTTCTAATCTATTTAATTTTAATCTTATCCTCCTTCAACATTCCTTTTATTTACAAAGTTGCCACCACAAAAAAGTTGGCCATTGATTACAACTGAGCCTAGACTCCTAAAATATTTTTTTGTTACAATTTAGGTCTATTTTTATATAAGATTGGGTTTTCATGAGATTAATTTTTTTTAAAGAGGATTTGAAATAAAACTTTTATCGACAATATTTACCTGTATTTCACAAATCTTTGTTTACCTTCAACGAACTTTGTTTACCTATTTCTATCATTATGACACAGACATTAAAAGATTCATGTATGTGAAAGTAATTGAAGATATGTGAAAGTCCATGAAATTGACTAAAAGGAAAGATAAAGGTGAAGATGAAGGTCAGTGTTTTCTATTAGGTATCAATTGAATGTGGTTGAAGGTCCACATATATTTAGCCATTAAACCAAAAACTTATCCAAGGACTTAGAAGTGTTCTCACATTCTCACGAAAACGGGTTGTTCTCACATGATTTCTACCCTCCATATATATATATATATATGGTTGGGTTTCGATGAAAAATTTCTTTTCTAAGGTGCTATGGTGCGGCACGTACATCTTCTTTGTGAATGAGTGGCATTTTTGACTTCAGGTTTTCTGCATTTGCACCTTACATACCTTAACATGATAGTTTTCATGTTAAAGTATGTCAAGGTACGTGAAGTATAGGTTTGTTGGGGTTAGTTAAGGTATGTTAAAGTACGTTAAAGTTTTTACATTAGGTATGTGATGTATGTTTAGGTATGTGTCTAGTACAGTGTAACACCCCAAAAATGGGACAACAAAAATTTCCAAATAAACCGGAAATATGGAATTTAAATATCAAAATACGAGCCTTCCTAAACAGGGAAACTTAGATACACTTGTTAATTTATAATTCATAAAAAAATGTTACGAGGATAACAACCTCCTAACCTAATTTCTTAAAGAAACAAGATTACAATCAGGTGTCACCTAAACCACCAAATATTCACTTCAAAAGAATGGTGCCTCAAAAATATTTCCCAAGCTCTCATTCTAAAAGCCCGGTCAAGTCTTCTTGGAAACCATGCTGCTAGAACCTGAGATACATGCCGACACCAAACAAGTGTTAGGCCAATGAGTCTAGTGAGCATGAACATAAAGTGAATAATTGCGGCAATATTAGTTAGAAATCATTTGTAAGCCAATTATAATATTCATGTGGAATCAACAGGGAAGACCTGTATTCATTGTGAGTGACAGGAACACAAAAGTATGCCACTCAAACAACGTTGTCGTATAATACTTCAAGACTTATAGTTCAAGTGTCCTAATGACTACTTAACAAGTTGCACCTCAAGATCCAGTTTTTTTTAGTGATTGTTCTTGCGAAAATTCACCTCAAGGCTCGACACACTTGGTGTCTACCCCGAAGGTAACACCCTAAGTGGCAGAGATCTTAGTATCTACCCGTAAGATAACATCTCAACCCTCCGTGACTACTTGGAAAGTCTCATCCAAACATAAGACTCAATGAAATGTCCAATTAATCCATGTTTATAAAATCTTCCATAAATTATGTCATATAAGTTGTCAAATAACTTCATAGGTTCATCCAACTCATAAAATTAGTATTTATAGACAATAACTGAACTTTGGGTCAAAATCCCAACAAATATGAGTTTTCATAATTTACCAATCTGATGAACCAAATCCATAAAAATCCATACCAATAGACATTTAGCACATAGATGTTCAATATCATGACATAAATATACCGACTTGCCCAAAAATGCATAAAACCTCATCAAATATGAACATGAGATCAAATCACCATATAATTGTGTAATACTTGAAGTCAAAGCTTATAGTAGAATCAAAGAACACATTTATGCATGTATCTAGTTTTACAAAGCATTTAAAACTCACTTGCCAGGTTTTTGAAGAAAACCTAGAAAATTGGTAAAAACCCAAAATTGAAGATGATGAACTTGGATCTTGAAGCCAAACTTGATATCTTGATGTTTAGAAGCTTGTAAACACCAAGAGATGGACAATAAATGCACTAGTAAGCCTTCAAGTCAATTTTAAATGAAGAAGCCAAGAGGTAGGTTTAAACGTTAATGGGGAAGATGACAATGGTGAAAAAGCTTTAATCCCGACTCTTACAACCTTAGAAGAAATAAAGACTCGTTAGAGTGTTTAAGACTTGAAAATCAATGTCCTAGATGAGAGATATCGAAGTAAATGGAAGGGAAAAGAAGTACGTGGAGTAAGAAATCAAGACAAGGACCAAAGTTCGAGTTTTATTCGGTAGGTGGCCGAATGGGACCTCTACGCCGCGACCTGTGGCGCAAGTCGCCCAAGTCCAGGACTTCCCTACCCGGCTGCTGCTGTCGAACTAGACTGGAATCCTTCTTAACCGACACCGGGAGTCAAAAAGTTTTATAAAACGTTCTTGGTGGAAAAAAATGTGAATGAAATATCCCACTGAATTGAATTGGGTCCAGGAATCTAAGAAATAGTGAGAATTCTTGATCTCTCTCAATATCTCTTTCAATTCTAAAATCCAGAATTGTCTTTCATTCCAAGGCCTAACTTGTATCCATGCGCTTCATATTCGCCCGGAGTTCGCTAGGGTACCCCTTTTTCTCGACTCGTCCGGTCTTTCCCGCACGGGGATGACAAAAGTGTTATTTGGGCCATTTTTTATCATTAGCTTCATACCAACTTAACCAAATTCCAAAATACTGAGACTTAGCCATTTTTAAGGTATAACAAGTATAAAGCTTAAAGTTTTTCGAGTGTTACATGCATCCATAATATTTAGGTTCCATTTAATTACATCCATGTGGCTGCATTTTTGTGAACCATCTAATCAAACAAAAAAATATCATCCAAATTCTTTTAGGGGTTCTCATGAAAGATTAAAGTTCCTGCATGATTCCAAGTCTATATATGTATATATGAAAAAGTGTCTAGCTTCTTCAGTTGTTAGATCTCCACTCTTGCAATTAATTGGGTCTTTATGATTACGGGTTTGATGTCTAATTGTGCATGAGATAATGACAGTATCTTGTACGTGAATCAGTGGCTCCCTATTTCTACAAGTAACGGGGAAGAGGACCAACATGCCACTGTGACCATATCTAGACTAATATGGGATGTAAGAATGTCTAGAACGTAAAGGAGGTAGGATTGGCAGTGGGTCAAATCTGGTACGAATCACACATGTAGAGACAGATTTAAGATCGGAGAGGGTGCATGCACACCCTCTTTATGGTGTTGATGCATATGAATTTTTTTGGAGGGGAGGGGTCTTAAAGATGCATTCACTTTAAATTGATATGTGCTCCTTAAGTTTACAAAAAGTGGTTGCAACCTACTTGTTATGTCATTGCAAGTGATGTTATTGGTCCAAGTTCGAATCCATTTGTCTCTCTCTAATTTCTTGGTAAGAGCAGCAGAAAAGAAGGAAAAGAACCACTTGTAATATGTTGACAGGAACGTTTGATGTCACTTTTAACGAAACAATACTTTCTATTTTGATTAATAATTATTTTAATTCATAATATGTTAATTATTATGTCCTCCACACTCAGGAATTTTCTAGATTCATCTTTACGTACATGGACTTTAGTTAGACTCGAGGGGAACTTCTAGGGTTCCCTTATTAGGGATCCCCAACGAAGAGGATCAAGTTGGCCTTTGTGAATATTTTGATTGCTCTTCTCCGATCTTTATTGCCCTTCCTAATAGCAGACAACTAATGTGAGCACTCTCTCTCTCTCTCTCTCTCTCTCTCTCTCTTTAACCCTTTGAACAAAATGTGATCTCCATCCGTGTAGGAAGTACGAGATTACCCTCAAGGACGCCTTTTGCATCTACGGGGCACGAACTGACCATAGAATCATGTTAAATAAGTGAAACATCTTAGGTGTTCATTGTATGTTGGTCATGCAATAATGATCAAAGAAATACCATAACTCATTCTTAAAACCAGCATTCTTAAGCTCATATAACCATTGAGAATGATTTGCTTGAACTACAATTTACTTTTGAACGTAAATGTAACTTAATTCCATTTGAGGAAACGTATCTACGTCTCCTTATTCTCACATTGGATAAATATATACACGCCAAATGTTTACACAACCGAAGTTATCCGTAGACGGTCGTCTCTCCATGGATGGCAACCTCTGCCTCTATAGAACAAACATCTCTATACAACAACCCTCTATTAGTCTGAAAGAAGGTACCATGTGTAATGAACCTGTTCCAACCCCATTCCGGTTTTGAAGCACTGAACCAATAACTAGCTGCAAATTATGACCAACATCGAGCTTGTTATATAAACGATTAATGACCAAAATTAAAAGTTCATACTGCATCACACTAAAATTGGGTTTATAGGGCGTTAAAATTATCTAAATGTTCTAATAGACTGTTTTATATGACTTAAGTTTATAATATCAAATAATAAACTACCATACTTAAACGTGTTGCAATACGTTTATATGACACTTTTGTGCATCATAAAACAAGTTTTTTAGTACATTTTGGAATAAAGCAAGCATTCTAATAACTTCTTTATATGACACAATCTGAAAAAATGTCTTAAAAAAGACGTGCTCATAGAATATTTCTCAAAAGTGTCAGATAAAATAGCTAATACAACACTTTATTTACAAAATGCTTCAAGTTAAGACAATCAATTTAAAATCGTCTTATGAACTTAATATAACACTTTTAGATAAGACGCTAATTATTGTTTCATCCTACAACTTATGTCCTGTAAAGTAGTCTACGAAGACATTTAAACGTTTTAGCATTTCATAAACGTGATTTTGTTGTAATATTGATAGCATGGGATCCAACTGCAAATGAGGAAAACATTAACCTTTGCCATAGTAATGCCTTGTATCCAGCTGATCTAACATACGAAGTGTAAACTCTACAAGTATCTTGGTTCCAGATGGGAGACTTGCAGGATCAGCCAAAGCCAAATTCAGCGTTATGTAGTTGCCAATATTTTTTTTTCCATTAGGATATAGCTTTATCTTCCTGCACAAATTCAACATTTGTATTTTTTTTTCACAATTAAAAGTTTGATGTCAGTACAATAAAATCAAGATTTATACGCTATAGCAAAAGTTTAAACTGTCCCCGATGAATTTATAGTATAAAAAAACAACATTGGTCATAGTAGAAGTATTATGAAAAGTTTATATGACAGTTTGGGTATAAAATGACCTCTTATTTTATAAGACGCATTTAAGAAATGACTTATGAATACAGTTATTTAATCTATACTATATTATAAAGTATTGACAAAAACTTTTAGAAACCATTTTTTATACATGAAGTACTGCTTATTGATGCATATTACTTAAAATTCAAGAGTATAAGTAAATTGTACATAAATACAACTTATTAAAGCTTCATGTTTAAATTTGTGTAACTAACTGTAGATAAACATAATTAAATAGAGAATAAACATCTCATTTAAAATATAAAAAATCTAAAATATAATTAGGATAATTATTAAGTTCTAACAAAATAATTAGCTATTATTTTTATTAAAAACTATATTACTAAACCAAAGATGAATTACTTCGTTATTGAACTTAAATTAAATTATAATAAAAAAATTGAATGAAAAAATTACACAAAAAAATAAGAAATTTTAAATAATTAATTTAATACCAATATCGATATATTTTTGTCAAAATTTTATGATTTCTTCAAATTTATATTGTATTCAAAAATAAAAACATTATCGTTTTTTCAAATTCACATAAGACCATATTATAATATCGATTGAGAAAAAATAAATAAAAGGAAATATTAGTATCAAGATGTATCTCGCTACATTGCGCAGGTACCCTTCTAATTCTATATAAGACATTTTTCAAATAGTGTAATAAAACATTTATTTCAAAGTTGCCGGAGAAAAACTTGTTAAAATACCCAAAAAATGTCATATAAATTTATTATAACGTTTTCACATTAAACTTAAGTATTATAAATCCGATTTTATTGTAGTTTTTACTTGAAGAAACACATGCACTTTAAGAGAAAAAGGTATTGTTTACCATTTGTGATCACCCCCCACAATGAATATGTTGGAACTTTCAGAGTCTGTATTCATAATTTTCGTGTAGCTGCTGATTTTCCAAGTATTTTTGAAAGCAACTGCGTCCTTTACCATCGACAAACACTCCGTTTTCCCTTTACTTCTCTCTTTACAGACGAACACTTCTGCGCCGAACACACAATCGTCTTCAAGAAGATAACCGTTGCTAGAGTCGCTAAATTCTTTAAGATCGATGAACCGATCAAACCCCCATTCAGTTCTCAATCGATGAAACCGTCTTCCTTTGCTCATTGCATCTGGGTGTTTGAACGTGGGATTTGATTGTAAGTTACGTGGAAATGAATATCCATACTATATTATAAAGCATCTAGGAGGTTCAAATAAGAAAAGAGAAAAAAAGGTTAAGAACGTGGAAATAAATTAATGATTCATATGTGAATATTCATTGGTAAAAGGAAACGTGGATTTATCGATACATCTTCACATGTGAATAATTGTTAAAATATAGATAAGCAAGCATGGTTCACCAATGATTCATATATGAATCTTTTGTTGCTTCAATATTATTAACTTCTTTGTTTTTCTTATTTGCACCTTCCCCCATAAATCATTTAGGTTTTTGTTGTTAAAAATAGGAATAAAATTGCTTATTAATAAAAATTAATTACCTTCAAGTTTCAAGTAGTTATCATTGTTTTGATCAAGTAGAAAGATCCTGAAAGTGGCATACACCTCCCAACCTGGTGGCAGTGAAGTTGGCTCTGCCATGGCCAAGTATACTGACAAGAATTCTCCAACTTTCTTACTCTTGTTGCCATTTGGGTGAACCACCAACTTCCTACAGGTTACAGACGTTAGCCACGCAGGTCAATTAAGCTTAAAACCCTGGTTACAATTAGGGTTATTTAAGGATACAAATTGGATAAGTGTTGATCGAGTAAGAATCATCTTCACTTGTTATATCAAGTAAGATTATCCGTCATCAAAAAACAGGACACGAAGGTTTAAGAATCGTCACGTTCACTTGTTGGGTAAAATTCTCAATCATGTAGCACAATGACAAAGTAAGTTGTTTGTAAAGATCACCATCTTAGATCGAGTAGGCGACTTTTACCGGGTAAGAGGCAATAAGTTTTTAGCTTCCGTGTTAAGATCAGATCGTAGTAATTAAGGGGTTATATGAGAAACATTGAATGATTTGATACATAATGATTAGTTAAGAAACTCTGACGGAGGTATTTTTTTGGCCCCACGAGATGCTTCCTCTTAATAGTATCATTAAGAGGCAAACAACAACACTTTACATAGATATATGTTTGACAAAAGAAGTACCATTTGTAGCCTCCAGCTTCAAATTCGCTTGATTCGTATCTTCCAACGTCGTGTTTTGTCAACGAAGAAAATTGTTGAATGTTGAGAATGTAGTGAGCAGGTGGTGCCTCAGATGTTGATCTCAAAACCCCTGAAACATTTATATATATATACTCTTCGAGTTATTGGCCGAGTGATACCCAAGTAATTAGTAATTACTAATTACCCATAATGCTCAACCCCGTTTCATGACGTCAACAGTTCAAATCTTACCAAGAATAAAAAGTGTATGTGTGAGTATTTGTCGTATATAAATATTATATATTTAAAAAAAACAGTTTTACTGACCCATAAACTCGCTAATCAGGAAAAAAAATCCAAAAAAAATATGTTTGAGAGATAGAGAGATCACATACCATGTTGGTCCCCTTGGGTAACATCCCCAATGGCCATGTTATGTTAATTATAAACAGGTGAAAAGCAAATAATTAGGAAACTATACCAATTGAATCACTTGTTAAAATCAAAGGGTTAGGAGGATTATATATATATACACACACATATATACACACATATATATATACATATATATATATATGTGTGTGTGTGTGTGTATTGTGGTTATTCATCCAAAGCATTTATTCTTTACCTTCCACAACAATAAGCATTTTCTCATTTCAAAACCCAAATTTAAAGCTAAAGAAAGCATTTCAAATCTAGAGGTTCAAGCAAGGAACCATTAGGCATCTAAGACAATTTGACGGTGGTTATGTTCGGCAAATGCACTAATTAGTAGTTAAACTAGTTGTTAGCTGATAAGCTAGTTGTTAGTTGATCAGTTAGTTATGGTTAGTGGGTAAAAACTAACTGATAGACTAGATATGATGTACGTCAACAAAATCAGGGTTTAACAATAGACCACGCTTCAAATTTAGTAATCTGTTTCAGCAAATTTAATGCATCCTTGAGATTTTTATGGACAGTTTGTTGATATAAGTTGATGTTTCTGAAACAAGCAGGAGGTGAGGGGCTTTTTAAGATCAATAATAGAATCCTAAGGTCTTTTTTGAAGGGAAACATGAAACATGTGTTGAGTTAGATCAAATGTTGGGGTCCAGTTATTAAACTGAGTGGGATTCTTGTTCCATCTTCATCCTAGATAAAGTTTGGTTCCACCATATACATCCTCAAAACCTTCCTCACATTTGCTTCTTTATTACCATATTTCATTGTCCACCAGATCCTTCTTCCCCTCTCAATATCCCCATCCCCCTCTCTCTCTATATATATATATATATATATATATATCCGACCATTAGTATAATCTATACATTCAATCTCAATCGTTTGTATAATCTAATGAATATTTGGTTCAATGAATATATGTTTGTTTTCTAATATAAAGCATTGATTAACAAAAATAAAATCTGATAATCTTTCATAAATATTTAGATTATAAAAATTGAACCTTCATCGTTACATAAAGATCTCAATTAATTATATGTATGGTTTGTACTAATGGTTAGATTTGTAAATGAAATCGCCTATATATAGGCAAGTTTTGTAGGAACCGATATCCATCAGAAATATGAATGTGTTATTCGTTATGAATGTTGTAACATATTCATTATTAATTTGTGATTCATGATTAATAACATGTCCATAACATGACTATATTCATCATGAATGTGTGATTCATGATGAATAGCACCCATTTTCATCATTAATTGGTTATTCATGATGAATATTCATCCTGAATAGAGATACGCACAATGTTGTTCTAATTTCTAATCAGTTTTGGGTTCCTAACTGAACTTCCACCTCTCTCTCTCTCTCTCTCTCTCTATATATATATATATATATATATATATATATATGTGTGTGGGGGGGGGGGCTTCTTCATCCGTTAACCAAGCAAATGATGTTGACTATATGAACTAATTTCAGCCTTTAATTTGGATAATCTTATGGATTAAAATGATCAATGGCATTCATGTAATTAGTAAAAAGTAAATAGTGTGAAATACTTATGATCACTTATGAACAAGGGTGATTCGAGAAAAGATTTTTTAGACTTTTATTATGAAATTATTGAAATCCTTAAAATTTCTCTTTATTCTCTCAAGTGAAACCATTGTCATAAGTGCATAACAAAAATATAAGTGTTCTCCTGAGTGAATCCATTGTTATAAGTGTATAATTATTTGGCACCCATGGTCACTTATCATCAAATATTGTATTCAATTATGAAAACATTATGAATTTGACATTTGTTTCACTTACAAACATTGACGAGTCAAGTGAATTATAATTACAGATTTTGAATATGTGTTCATTTATGAAAGGTTTTTCACTTTTTGCACTCCGGTTCACTTTTTTCAATTAAGTGAATCACTTGCACTTGGGTTCACGTATGAATGACTGTCACATATGTTCACATTTGCCACTCTGTTCACTTGTGTTCACATTTTACACCCATTCACTTGTTTTCTCTTGTTCACTTGTGTACAGAACTAATAAATCAAATTGTATGTTTCGTCATATATGAAAAAATATTGGATGCATGTTCATGCATACAATGTTCATGCATGAACAAAAACTACTTACACTAACAACTACAAGCACTGTAAATGAATTACAATCTTCATTGTCAGTAGTAATTAACATAAGATTTTTAGGAACACTTCCTCATTGATAAGTCATTAACCTCACCATAATAAAAATACATTTGCTATGTAACAACCCATTAAATTCATCCCTAAAATTATTAACTTCTATCATAGGGAGATGATACAATAATCATCCCTAAAATCATGAAACTTGCTATGCAAAAGCCCATTAAATTCATTAAAAGAAAAAACTGAAGAAAAAAAATCCAAAGTTACGTACCCTTAATCAATGACCCAACCATGTGAAAGAACCAGAGAAATACCTTGCATTTGATTGGTCTAAAAGAGTTTGTAGAGTTAACACCAATAATTTGACCAACAAATGATTAGGGCTATATATATATATATATATATATATATATATATATATATATATATATATGAGAGGGTCCATATTAACCAATTGTATAATGTGTAGATAAATATACACTATATAAACTTCACTGAAATATGTATATTATCAATGAGTAAATTCATCTATATATTCACTATTATATACATTCACTTTTGTATTCTTTTCATGAATATATTTAACAATGGTACGTTAAAAAGTTAATTTTTTCGTTTTCAAAATATTTGTCGTTCCCATCTGAATCGGGATATATATATATATATATATATAGAGAGAGAGAGAGATCTAGAGAGATATTTACTTTGCAACCAATCATAGTTTTTCATTTTTTTTTTCATAAATTTGTAAATATAAGAGGTTGATTAATCATTTTTTGATATAGAGGGTGTTAATCATTGATATTATCATCTTCATTATAATAAATTTAGAGAAATATATGAAACAGTTTCATTAAAATTTCATAAGTATCATATAAAAAATTTCATAACCATATATGAAACAATTTCATCAAAAAAAATATTATATGAAACAATTTAATAAAATAAAACAATTTCATGAAAAAATTTCATAAAATTAAACAATTTCATGAAAAAATTTCATAAGATTAAACAATGAAGTCGACGGATGAGGTGGTTTGCATGGTTTGTATAAATATGGGTGGTTTGCATTTGATTGCTCCTCTATGTGTGTGTGTATGTGTGTGTGTGTGTATATATATATATATATAGGGGCAGGTTCAAATGCGAACCGTCCAATTCTTAAAAACCGTGTAAACCAAATTCGACCAATCAGAAAATTCCATTTGTTTTCAATTAAATTTAAATAATAAGGGTGTTTATGTCATTTTGTACATTTATGTAATAATTTTGGAAGTAATTCATTCATATTAATTAAGGAATTAAATAAAAGAAACCGTAAAATAAAGGAAATGTTTCACTCTTTTAGGATATTATATAATTAAAATATTGATTTTAATATTTGGTATTCATTGAATCATGTTTCAATTTATGAAGATTTACGCCAATAATATGATGAAATCGTGGTTTCCTGCTGTGAGTGAAGTAAAAAAAACAAATATTCAAGAAAATCAAAAAACATGAAGAGGTTTCATAAATGAGTGACTTATTTGAGTCTTCAATAAATATGCTATACATCATGAAACATTGTCATTGTAAAGAAAAAATTCGTATTCTAAGTTAGGCGAGAGTCGTGAAATTTTTTCATTGTGTTCCGAATAGTTTTGTGTTTCAGGTTGATTCGTTTAATTGGTGTAATGAAATGGGTTTATCACGATGAAACAGTTTCTGTTTAATGAAACATTTTTTTTTATTATATAATTGATTCAATATATAATAGTGATACAGTTTCATTTTAGTGAAAATGGAAWTAATGATCATGAAAAACGTTTGATGTGCAAAGGTTTCATTACGAAATAGTTAGGCAGATATGTTGATGTTGATGAAACATTTTCATTTTACAATTCATTCGAGGTTGAATAACTAGTTTCACGATGAAATAGTTTTATTTGATTTTATATGAAATTAAGGTTCATTTAAATGTTCGATATGCAAAAGTTTCATTACGAAATAGTTATTCAAATAGGTTGATACCGATGAACAATTTCATTTCATTTTATATGAAATTAAGGTTCTAGTAAAGCATCACTGTTCAAAGGTTTCATTAAAAAAAAATTAAGCAAATAGGTCAATGCCGGTGAAACATTTTCACATTATATTTTCATTTTACAATCGATTCGAGGTTGAATAACTAGT